TTTGACTGGTTTTACAATGAAAAGCACCTTGAAATTGAGCTCAAAGTAGCAGAAATGTTCGATTTTTACCAAAGTTCAAAAGTAAACAAATCATGCTATGCATCCAATACACGTCAACTGGTGAGTCTAATATTCTTTCACAAGTGCTCTGATATTATTTATACCATTTCTACACTAATGCAGTAGTCTGCATAACAGTAAATCTTCTATTTTTTTGTTAGAATAAAAATTCAAAGTGAAAAGCAAAAGACTGTAAGAGGGGCGTGGGGACGTGACTAATGAACAGAGGAAATGTTATTTTAGTGCCAGAAATATCTTTCTTGTTTATTCTGGCCCCTATTCGGAAATTGGCATCTTTTGAAATTTGTGTGAGATTGACAAAATTGCTAAATTCTGACCACTGTATTGGATAGTTGAAATCGGTAAATGGGTGGTTTCTTGTACTCATTCAATAGAAAAAATGATGTTCTAGCAAAATAGTTATGATTTTTGTCAACTAGTACACTGGCATTGGCCGAAAATAGGGCTCAAAGTGGGCAAAATCGCCGATGCGTAAACATCGTCGAGACCGCTAACTTCGCGAGAGCATAATTCCGTAAGTTTTCCATCAAATTTCATATTTTTGGTGTCATTATGATTGGGAAAAGATTCTCTATCTTTTCATAAGAAAAAATAATTTTTTTTTTTAAATTTGGGGGACCCTGAGAACAAGTCTCGGAGAGGGCCTGTGGACCCTGAAAGGGTTAAATCAGCTTGAAATAATATGTAATTCTTTTGTAACTGACCATTCATTAGCTAACTTTCTTGTTGTACTTATCATTGTAATAAACTGCATGAGAGGTCCTACTAATAGTTTATGTCTAGTTCTTAACCCTTTCAGGGTCCGTCCCGTAGATCTACGGCTTCACGTTGAGTGTCCAAACCATAGATCTATGCCAAAATTCTAGCGCCGTCAAATTTAGCACAAAAGCGCTCATAGGCCTACATGTGAGAGAACAGGTCTGCGTGGTGGGTATGCGCCATAAACAAAAAATCTAGGCGCCCGCATAGTATTGTGGGAACGCCGGCTCAGTTACCCTTGTTCACCATGCCTCGTCGCAAGTCAGCTCTCACTCCCCGGAAAATTGGGACTCTCCTCTTCCTATCTGATAGTTCTGACACTGATGGAAGTGGAAATGAAGACGAATTCTACGGCTTTGATCAGTTAGTGACCGAAAAGAATGACCAGGATATCGTTAATAGTGCAGAAAACCCTGACGGTCCTCAACCTTCTACCTCTGGTGTGGGCACTCATGACTCACGGTCGGTTGTTCCTCAACGCAAGAGAAAACTAATATTTTCGCGTGACCAGGCCTCTGACTTCAGTAATGATGATGATAGTGACGTGGATTGTGATTTTATTGCGCGCGACGATCATTCGAGTAGTGATAGTGAGGAATCATATTCACCAGTGAAGCGTCGGTATGTTCGCCGCCACATGCGCTCGGGTAGTGTACCCTATGCTGTGCCCAGGGGACGGAGTACATCCTGGAGTACATCCCGTGGCCCTACACCAGTTTTAGGTAGTGATAGTGAGGATGATGTGGCTACACTTGGCATGGATAGACCACAGGCATCAGTGGATGGTGGCAGTGGTGATGGTAGTGGCACCGCCATGCGTGACTCACCAGCCCACGCTGGGACCCACGCTGCTGACTCGTCAGTTCAAGGACAAAGCAGAGCGTCAGCCACCAGCCCCCCCCCAACCACAACCACCCGCACAACCAGCCTATGATGTCCAGTATCCACCAGCAAACCGTATGTGGGATTGGCAGCAAAATCCCAATTTTGTTCCCAAGCCTCACCACTTTGATGACTCTCAAAGTGGAATTCTACCTACTTGTCCCCTTGGAACCACAGCCAATGAACTGGAATTCTTTGAATTATTCTTTGACCAGCCACTGATGGAAACTATTGTCAGGGAAAGTAATAAGTATTTTGAGTACACCATGGCAAATACGATCTTATCACCACAGTCAAGACTACACAGGTGAAAAGAGACGACTGTTGCAGAAATGTATTTGCTTTTTGCAACAATAATGCTTATGCCTCATGTCTATAAGCATAATATAAAAGCATACTAGTCCACAGATCGGCTAATTTCTACCCCGTCTTCAGTAAAATCATACCAGTGAACAGGTTTATCTTACTGTTATGTATGTTGCACTTCTCTGACAAAACCAGGCCTGACAGAAGTGACAGGTTATACAAGATTAGAAATGTTTTCATGTATCTCAAACAAAAGTTCAGCATATACTTTTATCCATTCAAGAATCTTGTAATTGACGAGTCTTTGATTTTGTTCAAAGGTAGACTGTCATTCAAGCAGTATATACCGAGCAAGAGGAAACGCTTTGGTATAAAACTGTTTGTACTCTGTGACTGTGACAGTGGCCTGGTGTTGGATATTGTTGTATACACGGGAAGTAAAACATTGAAAGATACCAAGATGTTATTGGGTATCTCAGGTGACATAGTGAGAAACATGATGGCACCTTATCTTGGTAAGGGGCATACATTATATACCGATAACTGGTACACAAGCCCATTACTCAGTGATTTCATGCGAGTGAACAAGACAGATGTGTGTGGCACAGTGCGTTCTAATCGTAAACATATGCCCAGGCTCAACGCAGGTGCTCGTGGTGATGACGTGCAGGTGTTTACTGCCAATGACATCATGGCATTACGGTGGCATGACAAACGAGATGTCACATTGTTGACAACCATTCACCGTAATGAAATGCAAGACAGTGGCAAAGTTGATCGAGTGACTAATGAACGTATTCGAAAACCAGTGACAGTGATTGATTATACACAAAACATGCGCTTGGTTGACAAATGTGACATGCAGATTGGTTTTGTTGACTGTGTTCGTAAGAGTTACAAGTGGTACATGAAACTTTCCTTCCATCTCATGGACATTTCTATGCTCAATGCATATAATATGTACCAAATAAAGACTGGTAACAGACCACCGTATGGTGAATTTTGTTTGTCTGTTGTCAGACAACTCATAATGAAGTACCAGGTAAGAACACCTGCTATACAAGGTCCTCGAATTACTCAGGATATACCCAAGCGTTTGAGGAGGGAAGGTGATCATTTCATAATACAGCTTCCTTCAACTCAGAAGAAATTTGCTCAGGAGATGCATCGTCTGTGCACAAACAAAACGACGGCAACAAAGACGCAAAGACACTCGGTTTATGTGTGAGGAATGTAGGTGCCTCTGTGCATGGTGCCTTGTTTCAAGGAGTTCCACAAGCTCCAGCAGTTCTAAAACCATGTCCAGTGATTGTAAATATGTAAATATATGATAGAACATTAGTATTATACAAGATTTTTGCATGTTTATTGTAATAAACAACAGTGGTAAACAATAATATGATAATAACTTTAGTGCGGTTATTGTGTTCAATACAGTGAGTTTATATATATACATTATATACAGTATTGGTCTCTCAGGCCCCAAATGTTAGTAGGAATAGAAAAAAATTGGAAAAGAAAAGGAAAAACTTAAAAAACCGCTAAATAATGTAATGCGCATATGTGAAATTCGTCGATGTTGCCGCCACCACATCATTTTGGACAAACTTCTTGGCACTGTATCTCGGTAAGTACTGATCAGAATTTTTTTTTTTTGTCTTATTACCTTCACAAAAATATGCTCTTTAATTCTGTAAGAAAAAATATTTTTTTTTTTTTTTTTTTCAAAATTTCTTGGACACTGGAGCACCACTTCAGATTTTGGCCTTGGACCCTGAAAGGGTTAAGTAACATTTAAGCTTTATGATTAGTTTGACCAAAATGCATTGCATAACTAGTGGCTTCCTTTTGTGTCTACCAAAGCTTTAGTACATGTAAATATACATTAGTTGTACCACAAAGAAATAAAAATTGTACTGTACAACCCTTTCCTTTCACCATGTATTAACCTGCCAATCACTGTGTTCAGGAGGGCAAGATACCATCATGTAATATCATTAAAAACCCATGTAATGTATTTTGGAGATAATAAACAAACTGCTGGGCTTGACAAATTGATGTGATGGACTAAGTCTGCATCAATACTTTGTCCACTAGCAGCAGTCCATTACATAAGGAATTTTGATACTTTTTTTTTTTTAATGAACACCCCTTCCCCTTATTAGTCTGTTATACCAAGGTTTCACTGTACATACTTTGAACACAATTTACCTCTGTGATGCAAAGTAATTCTGCTTATGTACATACTGAGTAATTCTCGTAATAAACAAATTCTTCAATTAATGCTAAATACAGTACACCATTCCTGGTGCAATTTTCTTAATTAAACCAACAGCAAATGACAAGAAACAGTTCAGCATATTAGTAAGCACTGTACTCAAAAACATCATAATTACTTAGCAATTTACTGCCATAATAGTCTGAGAGCCTTATTTGTTGAAAAAAAAAATAGATATGATGCAGCAAGCACAACAAAAGTTTGCATTAAGAGAGCAACCTCATGACAAAATTTCAGCTAAATATTTCATCATTAATACATTAATAGCATCACTTACAGCTGAACAAATACTGTATAAAATAATACACAGTAAGCCATTATACAGTACTGTACTGTATATACACTAAAAGTGTTAAGAGTGTTAAGTACAATAACTGCAACATCACCATTAAGATGTTATTCAAAGAAACAGAGTGCAGTTCAAATACTTTCTTTTGGTACAAAGATAATTGTAGTTTTCAAAACCACTCAAGTTCAAATCATGCAGTGGCTTCATACACAGCTACAAAAAGAATGTCAAGAAAAGCTAATTACATTCTCTTTGCCAGGTTATGAAAGTGCTACAGTACAATAATCATAAAATTTTCATTAAGGGCTGAACTAAATGTGTCAGTGATGCAAGAATGAGTAGAAGACTACTACAGGCAGGCAAGGAACATTTCTAAGAGAGGAGCATACACCACCGAGACCTTACCATTATTCTACAGGTATAGGCAAACCGTCCACCAGTCACACCTGAATGGAAGAAAACATAAACAAAATGTAAAGAAAAACAAATCTTAAACCCCAAGTCTCACATGTATAACAAACCTAAAAAAGTATTGTGGATTTACACCTGATAATCAGGTGCTAACACATGCCACACTACTACATACAGCACATCAGCAGTGCAAATACAGCATAAAGCAAGGCAATCCATTAAATAACAGGCTCTTTATAAGGGAATGTTACAGCACTGATAGAATCAAGAAAGCTGGTGATTTATAGAGCATTAAGTTGGGGTACAATGCATGACTTATCTAATGACAACACTTTCTTGCAAATTCTGTTTTAGCATTGGCAGTCACCTAATTATACAGATATTTTAGAACACAAAATGCACTGATACAGTACCTACAATTATTAATATCAGCCAATCAAAATCTTCATAAGATTCCCAATCTACAAAAGTGGTGACCCAACATAATTCAATAATTACAGGTCAATTTCAACTTTGCCTTTACTGTATAAAATCTTTGAAAAAATAATACAGTCGAACCTCGGTTGTCAATTGCATTACTTGTCGAATAACTAGGGTTTTGAATGAGGTGTTCAGAAAAAAATGTCCTGGTTTTCGTTTTCTCTTGGTTGTCGAATGACAAGTTTCACATGTATGGAATGGGACAAAGCGGCTCAGGTCACGTGCTCACAGAATGTACACTGGATAATGGGTTGAGAGCATGGGTATGAGTCAGTATAGCCACTAACTCGCGTGCTGTAAACATCTCTTGAGCTTTTGTTTGCTGAAAAATATCACCCAGACAAAGCAGTGGCCATCCATCTCTCTAACATATACATACAATGACAGTGTAATGTCTCAATTTAGACAAGTGTTAAAATGAAGCCTGAAACAAACCACACTGGAGAGGTTTTTAGTGAGACAAAGAACCAGTGAGCCAGAACAAGGTGTTAGAGGTGAAAAGAAACAAAAACGATAAACAACACCAGAAGGACAGTTGCCTGACATATTAACAAAAGGTGACTCTCCTTCCATGCAGTAACATTCCACCCTCCTCTCCTCTGCCTCCTGCTTCCAGTATGCCACTAGCTCTCCTGACAGGTAAGGGGCAGTTAAATTTTCAGTCTCTACCAGCCCCCTACCTCTAAATATGCTCTCCCTGATAATTAACAATTCTGGCAACATGAATCGTCCAATACAGAAAAGAAAAAGATGGTAAAAATGAGTAAATGCAAAAGATAAATACATAACAGTGAAGCCTGGTGGACACCACTCAACAGTGGAATACAAAAGGGATCAGATACAGAGGAGACAGCAGAAGCAGTAGAAATGTAAAGATAATGTGATCAGTCTATTACCCTAGTAGTAGATGTGAGGGAATTAATCTTTCAGCCTGGAGAAGAGTTCATCTCCCTAGTGTGAAGCAATGTGAAGCTAAAGCATGAGAATGGAGACATATATACACCCAAAGGTGAAGAGTAGACAATCTTTCAGACAACAGAAGAGGTAGGGCCCACTAATAGAAGCAAGTATGTAAGAATTGATAAATACACACATGTGCAACACTTGGGTATCTATATTGAGGAAACATTTCGCCACACAGTGGCTTCATCAGTCCATACAAAGGAGAATGGTGAAGAACAGGAGGAGCTTGAGGTAATCAGTCCCTCAGCCTTGAGTTGATGTAGTCAGTCCATCAATTTTCCTTTGTATGGACTGATGAAGCCACTGTGTGGCGAAACGTTTTCTACAAGGAAGTGTCCTTGGCCCACTCCTCTTTCTCATTTACATCAATGGCCTACCGAATGCATCACAACTACTCAAACCCATATTATTTGCAGATGACACAACATAAGTTTTCTCCCACCCAAACCCAGTCATACTCGCCAACACTGTTAATGCCGAATTGCAGAAAATATCTACCTGGATGATGACTAATAAGCTTACCCTCAATACTGACAAAACCTATTTCATTCAGCCTGGAAACGGAGCTGCAAATGTTCCACTTAACATAACACTAAACGGATCACCCATTACAAGACTCACAGAGGGAAAATTCCAAGGAATCCACCTTGACAGTAGCCTCAAACTCCAGACACATACATATACATACAACAAATTTCCAAGATAATCTCTAAGACAGTAGACATACTATCAAAGATACAGTACTATGTTCCACAATCAGCTCTCCTTGCACTGTATCATTCACTCATCTACCCTTATCTCACATATGGAATTTGTGCATGGGGATCAATAACATTAAATCACCTAAGACCACTAATAACCCAGCAAAAGGCTGCAGTCAGAATAATAACAAATTCCCACTCCCGACAGCATACTCCACTAATATTCAAAAGGCTAAAACTGCTCACCGTAAAGAACATTCATACTTATTCATGTGCCTACTACGTACATACATAGGACACTACTTGACTTAAGAAATCGTAATGACATGATTGCAAATAAACCATACCCCCGGCCGGGATTGAACCCGCGGTCATAGAGTCTCAAAACTCCAGCCCGTCGCGTTAGCCACTAGACCAGCTAGCCACAATAAGATTCATCCAACTAGGTATATTTCTACACCATAGGAAAGTTAGCACAGGCACCTCTGTGACCACAAATGCAAGTTTTTACAGACGAATCTCCAGCTAGCGTGGCCGTGACGAACTCTAGCTCAAGTCCCTTCACTGCCGTCAACATGACTTAAGAAATCGTAATGACACGATTGCAAATAAACCATACCCCCGGCCGGGATTGAACCCGCGGTCATAGAGTCTCAAAACTCCAGCCCGTCGCGTTAGCCACTAGACCAGCTAGCCACAATAAGATTCATCCAACTAGGCAGTGAAGGGACTTGAGCTAGAGTTCGTCACGGCCACGCTAGCTGGAGATTCGTCTGTAAAAACTTGCATTTGTGGTCACAGAGGTGCCTGTGCTAACTTTCCTATGGTGTAGAAATATACCTAGTTGGATGAATCTTATTGTGGCTAGCTGGTCTAGTGGCTAACGCGACGGGCTGGAGTTTTGAGACTATGACCGCGGGTTCAATCCCGGCCGGGGGTATGGTTTATAGGACACTACACTCAAACATAAACCCTCCACTCAAAACTTCTCCTCACCAACCTTAACAGGACACACGACCATAACACAAGACACAGATCTCTTTTTGATGTACCCCGAGTCCGTATCACACTGTGTAAAAACTCTATGCACATAAAGGGTCCAAAAATTTGGAATTCATTATCAGTAAATACTAACCCCTAAATGGTCCAAATGTATACTACATATTTTTTCTCTCACCCAGTGCCCCGAATATTTTGAGATAGAGACAGACAGACAGAGTTTATAGACACAGATACAGACAGACGAAGATAGAGCCAGCCAGCCAGCCAGCCAGCTAGCAGCCAGCCAGCCAGCTTTCCAGCCAGCCAGCCAGCTTTCCAGCCAGCCAGCCAGCAGCCGGACAGCCAGCAACCGGCTAGCCAGCAGCCGGCCAGCCAGCTTGCCAGCCAGCCTGTCGAACACTTATTACACGTTCCAGAATTGTTTCTCTTTACTTAGGGCATAGGTTATAAGACACTCTGAGTGTTGCACAAATGTTGCACATGGGTTATTATCGAGGTTTTGGATATTTCCTTGACCACTTGTGGCCACATCCACCTCACAGCCACTAAACTTGGGGTTAACATTACTTTCCTCTTAAAAGGGGAGTGTTAATATGACATGATATCAGTGAATCCTTGGTGTTTGCCCCACACACCGAGTGTCAAGACCCATTCTATGCTGACCAAGCATCTCAGGCCAATCGTGCCAGTGTGAATGTATATATACGTTTGGACCATTTTGGGGTTAAAGTAACCCGGTCTCAACATCAATTTAAGACTTCTCAAAAACCACTTACTCACCCTAAACTAAATACAGTGGTCCCCCGCTTTTCGTAGTTCCCGGCAATCGTAAAATTCGCCAATCATAGGGGTATTTTCGTATAAACATGGACTCGCTTTTCATAGGTTGACTCGCGAGTCGTAGTTCGTCCGGGACGCGTACGCACGGCGTGGGCCAGGGCGGCAGCCAGTCTGGCATTGTTTACCAGTGAGCGAAGGTCCCCTCGTGTGCTCCAGCGAAATATTTCATAATATTCCCTTTATTTTAGTGCTTGCAAGTACTAAATAAGCTACCATGGCTCCAAAGAAAGCTTCTAGTGCCAAGCCTGTGGTAAAGAAGGTGAAAAAATACGATTGAATTTAAAAAAACCATCATTGAACAATATGAAAGTGGTACAAGTGTGGCGAACTGTCCAGGATGTATAAGAAACCCTACACAACCTTATGTTCCATAGTGGCCAAGAAAAAATGAAATAAAGGATGCTGTTTTGCAAAGGGAGAAAACTATGCTGACAAAAATGAGATCACCAGTACGGGAAGAGGTTGAGAAGTTATTATTGGGTGGATAAATGAGAAACAATTAGCAGGAGATACTCTTATGACTTCGTTTATTTGTGAAAAGGCTAGGCAGTTGCATGAAGATTTGGTAAAGAAATTGCCTGAAAAAATAGTGGGAAGTAAAGGGATTTAAGGCCAGCAAAGGCGGGTTTTGAGAGATTTAAAAACCCGTACTGGCATACACAGTGTGGTAAGGCATGGTGAAGCTGCCAGTTCGGACCACAAGGTGGCTGAAAAATATGTGCATAAATTCCAGGAGTACATAGAGGCTGAAGGACTGAAACCTGAAACATGTGTTCAATTGTGACGAAACAGGCCTCTTTGGAAGAAAATGCCAAAGGGGACCTTTTACACAAGAGGAAATGGCAATGCCAGGACATAAGCCTATGAAAGACAGGCTGACGCTAATGTTCTGCGCTAATGCTAGTGGGGAATTCAAAGTGAAGCCATTACTAGTGTATCATTCTGAAAATCCCAGTGTTCAGGAAAAACAATGTTATGAAGAGTAAATTGTGTGTGTTTTGGAAATCTAATAGTAAGGCATGGGTCACAAGGGAAATTTTCATCGAGTGGTTCAATGAAGTGTTTGGCCCTAGTGTGGAGTATCTCCTGGAAAAGAAATTGGATCTCAAGTGCGTGCTAGTAATGGACAATGCACCTGCTCATCCTCCAAACTTGGATGACCTAATTTTCGAGGAGTTTGGGTTCATCACAGTAAAGTTCTTGCCCTCAAATACCACTCCTCTCCCCCAACCCCTGACCAGCAGGTTATTGCAAACTTTAAAAAACTCTACACAAAGCACTGTTTTACAGGTGCTTGACTGTGACCACAGACACTCACTTGACCCTAAGGGAATTTTTGGGGAGAACACTTCAGCATCCTCCACTGCATAACCCTTATAGGTATGGCTTGGGAGGGAGTGGGCTACCAGGATTTTGAACTCTGCCTGGAGAAAATTGTGGCCAGTTGTGTCGACAAGAGGGATTTTGAAGGATTTGGGACTGACCCTAATGAGCCTATGTCTGTTGTAAAATCAATTGTGGGACTGGGGATTTCCATGGGTTGGATGTGAGTTGGAGGATGTGAAGAATTGGTGGAAGACCACAATGAAGACTCACCACTGAGGAGCTGCAAGAGCTTCCGCAGGAAGAGCAACACATCACAGCTCAGAATCTTGCTACAGAGGGGGAGAAGAGAAGATGGAAGAAGGGGCCTTCTCAGAAATTAAAGAAAATTTTTACTATGTGGGGTAAGATGGAAAGCTTTATGGAGAAACATCACCTAACAAGGTTGTTGCAAGCCGGGTTTTGGCAACATGTACAGTGACAGTCTTGGGCCATTTTAGGGAAGTGTTAAAGAGTGCCAAAACAGAGCTCTCTCCACAGTTATTTTGTGAGACAGGACTCCAGTGACTCTCAAGGTGGTCCTAGTGGCATTAAGAAACAGAGAAGAAAGAAACCCCCCAGAAAAGCAAATGGTACCTGAGGTGTTGATGGAAGAGGATTCCCCTTCCAAACTATAAACAATCCACTCTCTCTCCTCCTCCAGTCTCCCATACACTAAGAAGAATCTCCAATAAAGGTAAGTGTTATGCTGTTAATGTTTCATTCATCATTTCCCATTGTATTGTTTATGTACTACATGTATATTTCATGTTAAAAAATTTTTTGTTTTAATACTTCTGGGTGTCAGGAACGGATTAATTGTATTTACATTATTTCTTATGGGGAAAATTGATTCGTAAATCATAAATTTCGTTTATAGTAACGGCTCCAGGAATGGATTAATTACGAACGAGGGACCACTGTACTCAATATTTAAACATTTCCCAAAAAATATCCCCCAAATTTTAACTAAATCCTAAAACTTCAAAACAAGATGCCCAGAGCTCATACATATCTACCCAAAACAATACTGTCTAACACCCAATTGTAGCATTCTCATACTGTAAACTACTTTCAACAACTCACAATGTTATATTCCCATAATATAATTTCAATATTTATTATTGAAACTATTGTAATTTGAGTACAATTAATGTCTAATATAAATAAAAACAGATTTATAACTTAAACAAACTATGATCAATTTATTTAGTATTAAGTAGTCTGTAAGCCATTAAATTAAGTCTACCCATAATGCCAAGGCATGATAGTGGCTCTCTTTGCACTGCAACTCATTACTGTTATTTCATAATCTTAATGTAATCTTGCAAAGAAATAAAATTTTGTTTTGTTTGTTTTTTTTGTTTTGTTTTAGAGATACCCATCGCCGGGTCACCAACTTGAAGACCCGGGCTGGAAGTACCGGCAAATCATCAAGAAGAAGAGATACTCAAGTGTTGCACATGTCTAATTTATCAATTTGTCAGTTCTCTGAACCATTCACCTACAATGTAATAATTGAGAGGCACTGTAGCAAGCCTACTCGACCATGCTAAATATGTGTCTCTCAAATTCAACTTTTTTCACTCATAACTAGTGGTTAGGCAATAAAGCACAGAGGACATCTTCGACAATTTATTGCCTAACCACTATCAACGAGTGAGAAATATTGAATCTGAGAAGGACCTATATAGTATGGGCCAGTAGGCTTACTACAGTGCCCCTTAATTCTTATATTGTTGCTTCTACTAGTAGGTCCTACCTCTTCTGTTGTCTTTAAGATTTTCTGAGCCTCACCTTTGAGAGTACATGTCTCCATTCTCATGCTTCAGCTTCCCAGTGTTCCAAGTTATGGAACTGAACTACTCTCTCCAGGCTGAACAACTTACCCTCCTTGAAACAACTACTATTGGGCTAATGTAATGATTACATCATTGTTACATCTGCACTGCTTCTGCCGTTTCCACTGTATTCCACTGAAGAAACCTACTGTGTAGGCGAATCATTTTGACAATAAGGAAACCAAACAGCTGCACCTGTGTCTTGTTCCATGGAACTAGAGTGCTGATACCTTCTAGGTGTAACACCTAGGCCTAGTAGACACCTCACAATGGAACTAGTGTACAGATACTTGCTAGTTACAACTTAAACACACCCATGAGCCAGACACTGAGGAGTGAAGACGTCACTCATGCTGGAATGTTTTCTGCTCACTACATACTTGCATTACACCTACAACAATGGAAATATATAACTAACCTTTTTTTTTAGGATTATCCTTGGTAATTTACGCATATTACTGTATACGACAGCTGTAATCAACTAAAATTTAATAAATACAGCTAAAAAGTTCAATTAATAACAGTGACGAAAATTTTCCCGAACAGTTTCACCATTACTGCCTCACCTTCCTCTCTACCAGTACACTATTATGCATATACAGCCACACCTGTGTATCCCAGTGTATATACACTCACACCTGTTATCTCCTGGTTTGTATATAGCGAGAGTTTACTTCAGTCCCTCAAATAAGGACTGTGAAGTATTCTGAGTGATGAGAAGGATATGCGCAGCCTTAATGACTGGTGTTGACGATGGAGTTTTAGCCTAATTAACCAACTAAATATGTCTCTCACCTGATGTATACCATGCCTAGCCTCTCCTCGCTGTCCCTCACAACACTATGAGAATGTATTGAATGAAAGAGAGAATTAATCAATACTCACACAGCTGAGGCTCACAGCATAGTGATGAATAAACACCACGATGACCAACCCTCCCAACCACACATTCACTTATACATGAGTAAGGCTCTTTTTGCCTACTTTCATTTGATGTTTATTTGAAAAATATTTTACAAAAATTGTAACTACACTTCGTAATTGAGTATTGCTATCTACTTAAAAATAGCAAGAACTGTCCAGGTTGGTATCCTCGCTTTGTTATTTATCTTCCCCAGATAACAGTATATATTTTTTTATTATCCTAGAGCTAAATCACGCAGCAATTCATGGAGATAAAATTTGATTTCGACTTACTAAAGGCTTAATTTTCATTTAAATTTGCATAACCACATATGTGTTTTTTCATATGTAATATGTGCTGTATTTATAAATATCTACAATATATTTTTCCTATTTTCTTCCTTTTTAATATTAGCTTAGGTCTGATAGAAATACTTTGCATAACTATTTGCTCCTCCATGTAGACCTACCTTAGTAATTTGAATCTACTATCTTTGAAATCGTCTCTCAATGATCCTGTACCATACACGTTCACAATGTTGTTTTCATCCACTGTGTCGGTATTTGATACCATTTATTTCCAATTTTGTCCCTGTTCTTGTTCCAACTTTCCTTCAAATCCAATATATTGTTAGACAGACATATACTATCTCATCATATTTTCTTAATTCAAGTAGCTAGTATCACCCTATTGTAATTTTTATTTTGAATTAACTGAGTTAATTTTAATATAGTATAAGCTAAGCATGGTTATTATTGATACATGTCATGTTATTTTTATATTGGTGGTCCGGTGGCCTGGTGGCTAAAGCTCCCGCTTCACACACGGAGGGCCCGGGTTCGATTCCCGGCGGGTGGAAACATTTCGACACGTTTCCTTACACCTGTTGTCCTGTTCACCTAGCAGCAAATAGGTACCTGGGTGTTAGTCGACTGGTGTGGGTCGCATCCTGGGGGACAAGATTAAGGACCCCAATGGAAATAAGTTAGACAGTCCTCGATGACGCACTGACTTTCTTGGGTTATCCTGGGTGGCTAACCCTCCGGGGTTAAAAATCCGAACGAAATCTATCTTATCTTATCTTATCTGCTTTCATATACATTTAATGTTATTT